CACCACCATTCCTTATATAAACTCAGATCTTGGCAAGGGTGGTTTATAGGGAATATGCTTTGCCATAATCTGAGCTTGGTTAAACTAAGTACAACAAACCAAATACCATAGCCAATTAGTAGTTCTGAGCTTCCTAATCGCTGTGATTCAGATTAGAATTTGATCCTTCACATGCAGACAGCCTAAATTATTCCCAGGCTTTTCAATGTCATGTTTATTTTTCTTTAGATACCGCGCTGTGGAGAAAATGGTGAAGCTTATTCAGGGAATAGGCTTATTTTCTGAAAAAGAAGTCCAGGCACATTAAAAAGAAAGAAAAAATTCAGACAAAAGCTATTACACAATTTCTAAGTATTTAAAAAAATATTAAAGCACAATCTGAACCAATAAATATATTCAAATTTAAATTCCATATAACTATTCACACTGGAATAATCAGTTGCCGTCTTAAAAATGCAATCATGGAAGAACACAATCTCCTTTAATGACTAGTTCTAGCCAGATCCCATGTGTGATGGCTATAATACTGGTGCTACATTTCAAATAGATCGAAGCAGAGCTGCCTGGACCTCCAGCTATAAAACATTCCCCTTCCTTTCCCCCTTTTCACCCCTAAAAAGATCAGCAGGCAACCAGGAAAACACATTTCTAGGTCAGATGGGAGTCGGGCTGCGAGGCCGACCTCAGGGCGGCGGTGCTGCTCGGAGACGGGTTGCCCGAGAGAGGCAGTCGCAGAGCCCCGTGACCAAAGCCTGCTACTTCCAGCGAAGCTCTAGATAAAGATCAAAGAGTTAATCATGAGACTCTGCCACGACCACGCTGAGGCAGCCCTGCATTCCAGGGACATGACTTGTGCTCTGCGCGCTCCTGTACTGCGGTGCTGGCGCAGTAACATTAAAGCAGCTTATTGGTACTCAGCAGTTCTTCCCGTAACTTAACGCAGCCCGTTTTCAAACCCATCACGCTGTAGTCGCAGTGGATGAGTTTTTGCAGTCCGCCACCCCGGGGTATGGGTTTACTAGGCAAAACGAAGGGCGTCTTTGCCCTCAGATGCTTATTAGCAGCAGTCAGTGTTTCGTATGATCCCATACCACACGGGAAAGGGCTGCCGCTGGGCAGCCCCCCTCAGTTAGCCGAGGCTGCACTGCCCACCCCGTCGTAAAAGGCACACGGTATTACCGCCAACAAGTACCGTCAGCGGAGGAGCAAGCTGGAAGTAGGCCTGACAGAGTAGCACGATAAACATTTCCTCATGGTGCCAAAAGACACAAGTTCGTATTGCGGGTATCATCACACAAATCAAAAAAAAAAAAAATACACACACACAAAACCCCCAGACAAACAACACAACAAGCACCCTTGCAGATGCATCTAAAAATAGCTACTATATTTCTCAGAAGTAAACTTTGACCCTATTTTTTCTAGTTTTCATATGCTTCATACTAAGACCTTTTTACAAGGCTGCAAACAAAGGACTGGAGCTGCAGGTGCGTGTAGATGACATTACTCACACTGCAAAAGCGATGCAAAGTGGTCTTCGTGAGAAGCAGGCCCACATCCCACAGAAATCAGGAAGAGGCCCCGAGGGCACAAGTACACGATTGACTTCAGGTTTTGTTTTATGGTAGCTTGGATTTGTGTTTGTTTATTTCCTGTTTATTGCTAGAGCAGGACAAATATAAGTCTTTGAAGAGAAACTTAAACATAAATGACCTGTTTGAAATAGATTCGCATAGCAAACTTATTACAGCCAGCCAACAGAGCTTAGAAAGGGCATGGGTTTGTGTTGCTAGAGTTTCATCAGAAGCTGGGATGGCTGCTGGAATTTGCATTTTCATAGTGGAAACCCTCACTAACTTTTTTTGCTATCACTGCGACTCAAATTAATGCTAGGATAAAGTCCTTTTTATTACCTCAATCTCTTAACTCTCCTCTATCAGTTATGTTAGCGTTGGGGAACCTCAGTTCCAATTTTCCGCCCAGATACTCTCTTAATATTAGTAAAAATCATTCAGTGATGCAGATTGCAGAGAAAGAGCCAGCCCCATTCACTCCTGTCCTCCGGGGACCACAGCACTACAGCTCTGGCCCTACTCCGCATCAGGTTGAAATCTAGAACTCGTAATTACTGTCACTGCAATTTCAAACACAGCTGTCCTCCTCATAAGAGGAACAGATCTTCTGTCTTAATTACCAAATGCCCATAAACTTATCCCCACCAAATCCTTAGCCGATGCCTCAAATTCTAAATATCATACTTTGCTTATTTCTCATATAAATCAAAATACAAATATGCAAAGCAGGCAAAGTTGGCAGGCTGAATGTTTTTTTCTTTCTCCCCCTAAGATAGTACTATTTTTAAACCATCCTCTCATATGCATTTAAAAAGATGTATTTCTTCAATCACTTCTACAAAATTTATGAAAAAATACAATCAATATAGTTCCATCTATTGGTAACCATCTACATTTTACATTAAAACAGCTTTAGAAGAGTACGTACAGATGACTGTGAAAACCAAATGGCACACAGCCAAACTACAGCACTGAGCAAAAGTAGGCCAGTCATCTGCTTAGAACCTGCTGTCATTAAAATCAATCACTAAAGTGTTGCGGAATATTTTACTTGATTCTAGTTAGAAATGCAGAACAACACCGCAGTCACTGCACAGCAAGTTGGGATTTAATGCTCCAGGCAAGAAGCTGTTTTTTTTTTTTTTTTAAGATAGAAATGAGCCACTATAAATAACATGCTTTTTAAAAGCCTGATAGTAATCCCCAAATTGATGCATGTGGTGCTTGATTAAAGTACAACATTTTTCAATGGCAATATTCAAATTTCAGGGAAATTATTTCTGTAACTGTTGCTATGTGGACTGGTTTATATAGAAAGGCTTTCCTGCTAGTGATTCAATGAAAGACAGTTTGTAGGGACACTAATGTTGATTTTATTTCCCTTTTTGATTTATACTAGTTATTATTATGTATGCATCCCTAATAATTTTCAGCTTGTAAATACATTTTAAAAAAGCAGAAGAAAGCTCAAAAAGAGAAAATGGTAAAGCATTATGTCATTTCCAGTTCCCCCGTTTCAAGCTATTCTGCACGAACTGAAAGGTATAATTGTCCTCTGCCTGTAAAGACAGCTGGCATATACATGCAAATGAGGGTTACAGTAATTTCCATAAGAGACAGAAGTACTGTTGCATTGGGTACTGGTCCCTTCTCAATAACTAGGAAAATGTGATAAAACAAATAAATACTTAAAACAAAAACTCATAACAAAACATGAAGTCTGTTCCTTGCAAACTGGACTTCAAAAAGTAGCTCCAAGTTCTTCAGATTTGCCACATAAAATTTATTTTCAGATAGAAAATTTAAAAATATATATGAAATGCAGAAAAGAAAGTCTAATTGCTGGCAAGGCATTACATTTTAGTTTTTAACTTTAAATTATTTTTAAGATGATATCAGGCATCCATAGCAAAAGGTTAAGTATTACATGCTACAATTTGTGGTGATCGCTACTTTCAGATTTGTAAAACTTGGGAGTAGGAATGTTTGGAACTGCATTTAAGATAATAGGTGGGAGGGATTTAAAAAAAAAAAGCTCACTTCAAAGGAGGGCTGGCCAAAACTACATTTAAGATAAATGAAAGTAGTCTTGTGACTTTAATTCAAAAAATAATTTTAATATATTTCCTGCCTATTTCAAACTCCTGAAGCTGTACAAAATCCCCCACTATTTTTAATAGCTCATTCATCAATAATATTGTGATGACAAGCAGAGTATGCAAAGAGAAAGCAACTATGAATGCAAATGGTTACAAGTTATATAATTTTTAAAACTACAGTGTAGAACAAGATGGTCATTTTATGAAAAGCAGTTGTTGGTGCCTCGATTCTTTTCTTCCATATAATTTTTAAATCATCGTACTGGTTCTCTGTGTAAAACATATTATTTTATTTTTTATAAAAGTGCAAAAAAAATTCTCACTGCATTTTTGCCAATAGCACTGAAACATATATGTTTCTGTACTCTTAGTTCTACAATTTAAATGAAAAATTAATGGACTATGCTGCTGAGTTTTCTGTATGTCCATACATGCGATACAGGCATTCTCTCCTTGTGCAAACTTTAGTTTGTTATAAAAACTCCAAGTAACGGGAATAGAGAGAGAGGGAAAGAAAACTGCAATAAAGTATAACCTTCTATTCATACCATATTTTATTTTTAAACTCTATATTTCTATGCCTTTGTGATAGGATACAAGCTGCCTCATAGACAAGGTAGAAGAAAGCTTTCCTCAATGAGTCATGTTATGCAGCCTGTACTGCAACCAGTCAAAACTACCAAATTTTACTACATGTAGTTTCATGTCTCTTCTCCATTTTATGCTGTCTTTTGAAGTCATTAATTCTTTTTCTCCTCCTTCCTTGTCCTTCTGAAGGGGAGGGTGATTCTTTCCTACAGTGCTGCCTATTTGTGCTCATATGTCTTTTTCCCTTTTGCACCAAGTGAAATCTCATCAGTGCCTCAGTCTAATGCCAGGTGCAGCTCTCAAATATTTGCACTGCATCTGAACAGCACCCAGCACAAAAACACCCAAAACAGTATCACAGTTACTTCATCTCTGAAAGATCTATTTATGCAAAGAGCTAGTTTGCTTCCAATGGAGCAGCTCAGGCTATTTTTCATCAAGAGTAATGTAAAGCATTCAGCCTAGTTCTACAAGATTTAGACAAGGAAAAAAAGAAAAAACTTCAAAGAGTTATGCACTTGCTTTACTAGCACTGTTGCCAGGCTGACACCAAATACAGAGAGGCTATTCTCATTAAATAAAAGGTGAATGCATCTGTAAGATTAGGCCTTCAATATTAAAACTGTCAGCATAAGTAAAGACATCAGTAACACACAACAGCAAAGGACCGAATTAAAGTATTTTAAATATATTTTCAGAGAGTCTCTAGAAAAGAAAAAATGTAATACATGTTACTCACCTGAAAAGACATTGGGAAATGTCTCTGTAGAAGCCTGCACCCCTGAGGACTTTCTTGAATGAGTCAAAGGCACTCTTT